CACTATCATGATCCCAATTCTACCTTACAAATCTGGCTAGACCAGAGGATGTACACTGGTACAGATAGGAACTGGAAACACGGGGAATCCAGATGATCTCTTCAGGACCAGTGCTGAGAGTGGCGATACCGGGAGGGTGGAGGGAAGGTAGGGTAGAAAAGGACAACCGATTACAAGGATCTACATCTAACTTCCTCCCTAGGGGATGGACAACAGAAAAGTGGGTGAAAGGAGATGTTGGACAGTGTAAGAAATGACAAAATAATCATAATTTATAAATTATCAGGGCTCATGAGGGAGGAGGTAGTGGGGAGGGAGGGGGAAAATTGAGGAGTTGATGCCAGGGGCTCAAGTGGAAAGCAAATGTTTTAAGAATGATGATGGAAACCAATGTACAAACGTGCTTGACACAATGGATGTAGGTACGGGTTGTGACAAGTTGTACAAGGCCCCAATAAAATGATTCAAAAAGAAGAAGAATTCCAGTTTCAGACTCGCAGAGACAGTCTACCCTGCCCCATACATAAGGTCACTGAGTTTGCATCAACTTGATGACAACGAGTTATCATTAATTGCTATTGAATCGATTTCAAATCATGGAAACCCCGCCCCCCACCCCCACCCCGTGTACTACAGAGTAGAATTTCTCTACAGGCTTTTCTCAGCAGGAGCTGCTCCGAGGGAGAAAGAGGAGGCTGGCTGCTCTCCTAAGGATTTACAAACCTTGGAAACCTCTCAAGGCTTTGCAATGAGTGGAAATCAACCTGATGGCAGTGGGTTCCATTTGGGTTGGGATCTTGATGGAAGCTGACTGCCAAGCCCTTCTTATATCTCTGGGTTTCAAAAGAATGAAAACATCCAAAACAATAAATATTATCTCTGCATTCCTATGCCGAGTCCCTCTCTACTCTTCTAAACCCAACCTCTTCTCCCTGAGAGAGTGGACCAGGCCTCCCAAGTCATCCTGGTTTTTTTCTGCTCCTCACTCTGCCACTTATCTCTGTTGCTGGACAAAGCCATGCCATCTCCCTGAGCTGCCAGCTCCTCAACCCCCAAATGGGAAGATGAGTTATCTTCTTGCCTACTTCCAGAAATTATGAGGTCCAGATAGCTAACATGTATTATTGATTGTAGGCTAGGAATTGTATGTGTAATTTACATGCTTTAGTTCATTTGTTGCTATAATCGCCATACGCAATAAACACTACTTTCTATTTCGTTTTCCAGAGGAAAAGACGGGGCCTTGGAGAAAGTCAATAGCTGGCCCAGGATCCCAATTCCTTATGTGGTAGTCAGGATTCAAACACAAGTGTTATCTAGTGCAAAGCCATTCTCTTAAGCAATCAACTATATGTGTCTATTAACAGAAGACATCCATTGCTGCAGATCCCATTCCGACTCATGGCAATTCAATGGGACGGAGTAGCACTGCCCCATAGGGTTTCCAAGACTGTACGTCTTTACAGAAGCAGACGGCCACAGCTTTCCCCTGTGGAACGGCTGGTGGGTTCATTGGCCAAACTTTCAATTAGGCGTTGACTGCTTAAACCACTGTTCTACCAGCACTCTTCTAATACAAAAAAGCCTTCTAAAAATGCTTAAACCACTGTTCTACCAGCACTCTTCTAATACAAAAAAGCCTTCTGAAATTCATTGTAGTGTCACCATTGCTTCATTTTTAAATTCTCTACTAAAACTTTAATGGAACAATTTGCCAATTCATAGAAAAACCATTTCTGTAATAGGTTTTGTATGCGTGTGTGTGTCTGTGTGTGTGTTGTACAAGGATCTAAACTGTATAAATGGCACAAAGAACATGCATAAATCTTACCGAATGAAAAAGAGAAAGAAAATCTTTTCTAGGTTCCTAGCTTATTTCCCTGTAAATCACAGTAGAATTAGTAGTTAACATCTATGAATAAAAAGGTTCAACTTTTAAACGTCACCCTATTTCCTACATTTGGAGCAACACTCGAATTCTCCTGGACTTGATATTCTAAAAGGAATTCCTTAGTAATATAAATTATATTCTCTCAAGCTTCTTTTTGAAAACAGAGAATATTTTTTTAAATAATGTCAGGATTTTTATATAGTTGTAGGGAGCAAAAGTCATAATTATTCTAAATCCTTCCTTTATCTGTTTTAACCTTTCAGTTCAAATATTCAATGAAGTACTAGCAGAAACCCCATATTACTTTCTTATAGCACTAAAAAAACCTCCAATAACAATCCAATTTTTGCTTAGGACTTAGAATCTGAAACATTTAAAATCCTTTTGCAAACCATTGCATATGGACATGAAAAGCATAAAAAGTAACACTGATCTTGG